AGCCCAACCCAGAATGTGTATGACACACACCGGTGTGTGTGTGTGTCCCTGAGTTGGGCCATCACCTTAGTCTGTGACAGACTCTGAGAGCAGCTATGTCCCCACCCGATGCTTGCCCGCATGCCAGGGCAGAGCCCCAGTCCAACATCCCAAACCTGTTCCCCTGACACTGAACTAAGAGGTGGGTAGAAGAGACAAGGCCACCATCACCCTCTGCCTGCCTGCCTGTCCCAGTGCCTGGGCTGGAGGGGCAGAGCTGCCCTGGCTGGGTCGAGATGCCCCTACCCCCTGGTGATCCTGAAGGTCAACCCTGCCTATCCCCTGGGGCTGCACTTCCAGAGCCTTGGGCATGCCTGGTGGCAGCGGTGGGGGTACCTGGGAAATTAGAGGCTGGGGTGGGCACGGCTAGGCCCTAATCAAAGGGTATGAGGAGTCGCCCGCCCCCGGCAGCAGCATAATCACCAGCCTGGGCAGTCAACGGCCACCAAGCAACGTGGTGAGGGAGGCACCTGCCCTGGGCCATTGGGGACAGAGAAACAGACAGAGTTGGAAAGAGAGGAGAGCGAGCGAGCCAGCCACACCCTGGAAGGAGAACAGACCCAGACAGAAAGACACACAGAGGCAGCAGCAGTGAAGGAGTAGCTGAAGCGAGCACCTGAAGAGAAAGTATTTTGAGAGATGCCCCAGGAGCCTTGAAGAGGATGAGCTTAGGAACATGGGACACCAAGACCCTCCCCGAGACACACTCCTGTGCTTGCACCTGTGTTGTCTGGCAGAGGTGAGAAGTGGGGTGAAGGAAGAGCTTAAAGATGTCCCTCTGACCCTAAAACCGGGGCTGGAGGCCCTGCTAGCCAGCACTCCCCAATTCTAGGGCTTTCACCCTCCCCACTGCAGGCCCCACTAACCGATTAGCAGCTCCAGGGCGACATGATCAGAGGACTCATAGGGCCGAGAGAGGTGGAGGACCATGTTGAAAGGCTGCCCACGGCGTAAAATCAGCTCGTCGTACTCAAATTCATCCGTGTGGTGCTCTCGGCGATTCTGGTCTGAGCGTGAACTCATCAGATCCACACCGGTCACCACCAGCATGCCCTCTGCAAGGCCACAGCTCTGGGTCAGCAAAGCCCCATGGGAACCCCAGGCCCCCAGAGATGCCAGGGTGAGTCTCAGGCCCCATAAAAAGAGCTTTCAGCTCTCAGATAAGGTTAATAGGAGAGCCTCACCTCTGATGGTGCCATCTCCAGCTGCATTCACACCACCGGCCCGGGAGCCAGGCCGGCGGGAATCTGAGCCCCGGGAGTCTGGTCTTCGACCCCCAGAGCTGGACCCTCGACCCCTGGAGCCAGACCCTCGGTCTCCACGGGGCTCAGGTCCCCAGTCAGCATCTGTTTCATTTCGGCATGAGCAGCAGCCACAGCAGCGAGCCCAGAAGGAACGGCCTCCTCGACGAGACCGTCTGTCTGGTTCTGGCTCTGGCTCTGGCGAAGGTGTGGTGGGGGGCTGCCAGGCGTTCCCGCCCCAGCGGCCCACATCTGAACGAGGACCGTCCATCATGCCTGTGTGGAAGAGGCAGGGAGGCTCTAATCACCCACTCAGACCTCCTGTACTCAGAACGCCCCAGCTGGCCCGCCCAGAAGCCCTCTAGCTGGAGAGCTGACTCAGTCCCAACCAGATGACTGCAATGATCCCAACTTGCCCCAGAGATGCCCCCAGAACAATGCACGGACCCTCCCCCAAGACTCCTTTCAGGCTCACCTAGAGAAACTTCCCACACTGCAGAGAAATCTTTCTCCTCTTACCCCCAACAGCGACATCCCCCAAACTATATGACCCACTGAGAAATCTGCTCTTTTTTTTTTTTGTTTGGTTTAAAAAAATTTTTTTTTAATGTTTTATTTATTTTTGAGAGAGAGAGAGAGAGACAGTGTGAGCAGGGGAGGGTCAGAGAGAGAGGGAGACACAGAATCCGAAACAGGCTCCAGGCTCTGAGCTAGCTGCCAGCACAGACCCCGATGCGGGGCTTGAACCCACAAACCATGAGATCATGACCTGAACCGAAGTCGGATGCTTAACCGACTGAGCCACCCACGCGCCCCAGAAGTCTGCTCTTAAGGACCCATCCCAGAAATGAGTAGACACTTGTCACAGCCTCAAATCCCAGAGCACAGACCATCCCCCAGCCCGCTCCCTTCCACCTGCCAGCTAATCAGTCTAGAGGTCCATGAAGCTGTCTGCCTCTAGAACCCATTCTTAGCAGAGATCCCCCACCCAAGGCTCCTTGTAGGAGATGGGCAGGTGATATGCAGGACTTGGGGTCCTTGGCATCCCAACGTTAGGTCACACACCCACGCAGGGCGGCAGGGCGCTGCAGGTGCGGGAGTCCGAGGTCCCTGGGGCACTGAGCCTGGGCGTCGGGGGCAGCCTGACATGGGCTGGCAGGCTCCAGCTGGCCCGCACCCCACCTTGCTGGGGCCCACCGCCGGAGCCTCACCTCGCCGCGGTGTTGGCGACAGCAGCGCTGAGTCGGGCAGCCGGGCTTGGACAGGTCGGGACTGCTGGGACGGGACGGCCGACGCGGCACGAGTGGAAGGAGTGGAAGGTGTGGGGCGGGCGGGTAAAGTGGTTTATGAGGGGGGGAGGGCGGGGCCAAGCTTCAGGGAAGGGGAAGCCTGATTGCCTCATCCCCTCACTCTGGAGAAGAGGCCTGGCCTCTGGGGGCTGTCTCCCGAGGCAGGGGCGGGAAATGAGACCTGGCGCATCCCCTTTCCCCTTTCGAGGAACTGTGGAAATCAGACGAAGCGGGGGTGGGGGGGTGGGGGGCTGGGAGGCGCAGGGGCCTGTCGGGATTCAAAACTGAGGTGAAAGCTGAAGGCGTTGTGAGGCTGCCCCCACGGAGGGACCCCACTCGAGGCTGGTTCCTGGTGCACAAGGGGCCCCCTCTCCTGGGTGAGAAGTCCCAAGGGCAGTGGGGCAGACTGTCCCTTCACCCAAGCCCCTAGGCAGTGGGCCCCCTTCCCCAAGGTTGGGGAGGGTCGGGGGGGACCTGCCTCTGCTCTCATTGAACCCCGGGTACCTCAGCCTCTGCCAGGGTCTGATACAGCTGGGCCAGGCTCAGCCCTCTGAAACTGGCCCATGGGGCTGGTCCTGCCCAGGGAGGTCCTGGGATCCTAAGCTGCAGATGGGTGACATCAGCAGCCAGGCCCTCAGACTGGCTCCACCAGCCAGCCCCTGACCTGCCGGCTCTACCAGATCCTCTGATGCCCCCCCCCCCCCACCCATCTGTCCTTCCTTCTTCCTCCAGCTGCTTCACAACCCTTGACATGAATGAACTGCCCCCAGCTTCCTGTGTCCCTACAAGTTTGAGATTGGGTGGCAGGGGGCTGGGGAGTGAGGGTCAGAGTAGGAGCAATTTCTTGTTTTCTGCCCCTAAGCTCCCAGGTGGGGGGGCTTGGGGAAGGCTCAGGCCCTTGCTCTGAGGCTCAGGAGAACCGAGGCTCTCTCCCCAGACTGCAGACTACCCCTTCTTTCACTGAGAGGGGTGGCTGGTCAGCTGGAGTCCAGGATTCTCCGACCTGGAATTCTTCCCAGAAATCCTGACCAACCGGCTCCAGGCACCTGTCCTGTGTGTATCCCAACCCCACCCTGGCACTGGAGGAACACCAGGGATGCCACAGAGGGAGCCCTGAGGCAAAGAGGAGGTCAGGCATCGCTAGGGAGGCTCTCCTGAAAGTTCTTCAGGAAGCTTGGGGCTCTTTTCTTGGGATCTCTTCCCTCCATCCTGCTGTTGTCCTTGCTCTGCCCATGGGCCAGTGAAGACAGTGAAAACAGAGTTGGCAAGAAGACACACGGAAACCGACTTGAGGAGAGGCTGAATTTGGTGATGCATCAGGCAGGGAGGGGCCTTCCGGGAATAGGGACTGAGACTCCAGGACCTGGCAGGGAGCTCTCCACACCCACAGTGACCCCTTCCTGCCTAGCTCCAAGCCCCTGACCTGGCAGAGGGTCTGTCCCCACCTCCAACACTCTCAAGGGACACAGGAATCAAAATAAAAATTCCGGGCAAGTCAGCCAAAGGGCTTTGTTGAGACGCTATGGGTATCACTATGAACATGGGAAGGGGCAGGGCCGTGAGGGCCTGGAAGTGTGTGAGCATTTCCCATTTCCCAGGAAACCAAGAAAGTACCTTGTCACTCTCTCTTTTGTTTCGGTCTTTTTTCCCACCTAGCCAGGTTTGACTCAGTGCCCTAACCCCTGAGCCACTCCCCTCTCCTCCCTCCAGGAGGCTCAAGTGCCTCAGGACTCTAAAGTCAGGACAAGGGGTGTGTATAGGAGGGCACCATGGGAGCAGTTACCCAGCTCAGTACCTCGGGAGCCAAGGCCAGTCTTGGCCCAGCAACCCTTATCAATATAAAAGCACGAACACGAGTCTGGAATCCCAGACCAAGGTGCAGAGACAGCTTTGGTTCAGTTTCCTCATCAGTACAATGGGCCTAGCCATCTCATCCCTAACCACTTGTGAGGTTCAGCTGAGATCTAGTATTTTCGAGGGCTCTTCAGTCACCAGAGGGTGGAGCAAGGGCACCCTGACCGGCTTCTCGTGGGAACAGCCTTCTCAGCTGTAGTGACTGAGCCAGGACACAGAGGTCATCTGGAAGGGGCAGGAGTCATGGGAGAAACTTTTATGAGTCCTTCTAGTTGGCCACTTACAGCTGCTTTGTAGCCCAGCCCCATCAAGAACCTGGACTCAAACTCGATCCCAGCCCCAGCCCAAACCAGAAGGTAAATACAGTCCTTGCACTTAAGGCACCTGGGGCAAATTGTGCCCCGGAACGGAGACTCTGGGTCCCCACAGTAAGAAACAGCAGGACCAAGCATAAAATGAAAGTGTGAGGATGAGCTGACACAACCTAACTCTCCTTTTCTTTTCCAAAACAGATGGCAGTAGTAATGGTGGTGGTGGTGACTGTGGCGGTGGCGGCAGTGGCAGTGGCATAGCAGCCTGAGGGGGGCTCTCCATTGTTTATTCAGTCCCAATAAGTTAAAGAAGGGGGGCGGGGGGAAGAACCTCCTAGGTGAGGATGCTGTTAACTGAAGGCAACAGCTCAGCCAGGTGCTCAGAGATGCCTGCTGCTTGGCACAGGGGGTTGCCCTGCAGGCTGAGGAGGACCAGCCTGGGGCAGGAGGCAAGAGGCTGGAGCGCTGTGGGCTGCTGGATGCCTTGGGCAGGAGAGTCAAGGAAAATGAAGCAGGTTCCCTCTGTGCTCCTGTGTATCCATCACTGTTCTCCCTGAAGACCAGCGGCTGCTGCCTGGCGGGCATCTTGCACACTTCTCTGGAGGGAATAAGGCTCTAGATTGCAAACATCCTCCCAGGGGGCCAGGCTGGAAGCCCAAGAGGCAGGCCAGATGTGGCACTTCTTCTCGTGAAGAAGTGGTAGGCTATGGCCAATGAGAAAGCTAGCTCTAGCTACAGGGACATCCACGACTCAACAATGGCCAAGCGCTGCTGAGTGGAAATGTAGGCCAAAGGTTGCTTTAACTTCCAATTTTTTTTCAAAGTAGGCTCCACCCCCAACATGGGGCTTGGACTCATGGTCCCAAGATCAAGTATCTCATGCTCTGCTGAATGAGCCAGCCAGGTGTCCCTAACGTCCAATTTTTATTTTTTAAAAAAAGGTTTTTTTTTTTTTTACATTTATTTATTTTTGAGAGACAAGAGTGAGACAGCGTGCAAGCTGAGGAGGGGCAGAGAGAGAAAGAGACACAGAATCTGAAGCAGGCTCCAGGCTCTAAGCAAGCGTTCAGCACAGAGCCTGATGCGGGGCTCGAACCCAGGAACCGTGAGATCATGACCTGAGCCAAAGTCAGACACTTAACCGACTGAGCCACCCAGGCACCCCATAACTTCCAATTTTTAAGTAGAATCAGAACTCCCAATTTTTGAGGGCACCTGGGTGGCTCAGTCGGTTAAGCGCTGGTTTCAGCTCAGGTCATGATTTCACAATTTGTGAGTTCAAGCCCTGTGTTGGGCTCTGTGCTGACAGCTCAGAGCCTGGAGCCTGCTTTGTATTCTGTGTCTCCTCTCTGCCCCTTTCCTTCTCATGCTCTGTTTTGGTTTCTCTCTCTCAAATATAAATACATTAAAAAAAATTTTTTTTAATTAATAGAATTCTCAATTTTTAAAATATGAGGCTTCCTCATTTTTAAAATACCATGCTGTACCCAAGAACACCTAGATGTTACTAGTTTATGAACTCTGGCTTGAGGAAGTCACTTCCACCCTGCAAAACCACAAGTGCAAGTCAATGATGGCCCCAAACACAGGCCCAGGCTATTCTCTCTCCTTAGCTTGGACCACCAGAGCCCCCTTTCCCAGCCACCCTGCTTGCTGTCTGTCCCTTTCCAGCCTGGCACCTCACCCTCCCCGCTGTCCTGAAAGACATCCAGAAAGGATACGGTTGTTGCACAGTGAGAGCTCGTGTAGTCGGGGCAGGTTGGTGACACCATCCAGGGACTCTATGGCATTATCGTTGGCCTGAAGGACCTGGGGAGCAGGGAGGGCAGGGAAGACGAGGCAGGGCAGGCAGCTGTCAGCCTGGGACTGGTACAAGCAAGTAGGGAGCCCGGGGTGATCAGCTTACAGTGCAGGGAAAGGCCCCTGGAGTCAGGCTAGGTGACCAGGGCAGAGAAGGCGAGGGGTCGTTTGCAGGGGCTGGGAGGGTCTGGACATCTTTGTGTAGGGTGGGCAGACTTCTGAGGTGGAGGAAAGGGAGGAGCGCTTTACCTCCAGGCAGCGCAGGGCAGCCAGGGCAGGGGGCAGGGCTCGGAGACGATTGTGTGACAGGTCAAGATGAGTGACCAAGAGCAGCTGTTCCAGGTGGCAGAGTACCGTCAGATCCTGAGGAGGGGGAGGAGATACTCAGTGAGGCTTGGGGGAGGGGCCTCAGCCATTGTTCACGAGGCACTTGCCCCCTGTGCCCCACACAGGCCCCTGGGGACCCTGACCAAGGAAAGGACAAGTAAGCTTACCTTACAACCTCCCACCCCCACCCCTGCGGTATATGCTCCACATCAAGCACATGGGACAGAGAGGGGGTGCAGGGGTGGGGTGGCCAGTGAGCGGATGGGGAGGCGGCGGCCTGGGGTGGGGGCAGGGACAGGGGTGCAGGAGGGCGCTGGGGTGGGCACACACACTGGCAGGAGCGGGCCTGCTGCGGCTGGGGGGTCAGTCTGGTGGCAGGGGAGGTGGGCTGCAGGGACATGCTGAAGCCGCTGTGTTGGGAATACCGACAGGGCAAGACTACAAAGAGAGGGAACACAGAGTCTGGGAAGTTTGTCAGACATCCCCGGACACCACCCGGGTTTTAGGTGCCGGGGCCTGCTCCAGGGAGACAAGCATCGGAGTGAGCAGGGGCGAGTGAGGGCTCGCTCTGAGGGATGAAGGAAGATGTGCCTGGCCCCATAGAAGGGACGGCACCAAGAGGCCCTGGTGACTCAGGATCTGAAACTGCGTAACAAGAATCGTGGGGCAAGCGACAGAAAACAAGGCCGGGAAGAGAAGCAGGCCTGAAAGAAGAGGAGCTCAACCTCGGTTAAGAAGAAAGTCCAGAAAGGCACCCGAGACTGAGGCCAAAGCCAGGGGTATGGTGAGTCCAGACTGAGTGCCTCAGCTGAAGCCCATGGGGGGGACACAAGAGCTGGCCGGGTGACGCGGAGGGAGGGAGGGCTGGCAGGGTGCGGGCCCGCGGAAGGTGCACACGGCGGTCCCCACCTTGTGACCCAGGTGCAGCACGCGCACCTCAGCATACTCCATCTTGAGCACGCTGTTCTCCAGCAAGAACTTGCTGCGTAGGTCATCCAAGTACGCCGCCCGCATCGGGTCCACGGCCTGGCGGGGACGGACAAGGCGACAAGGCACGTCAGCGGTCTTCCTGCTGCCCACTGGGCCTCCCCCTTACCTGTTCCTCCAGGTCCCACTTGCCTTGAGGGTCTGGAAGTACTGGAGCGTCTCTTTCTCATACAGCAGAGGATCCAGTGCCCGCATCAGCAGGATGATGGTGAGCAGGCACCCTGAGGAGAGGGTGGGGAAAAGCACTGTCTCTTCTAGATCCTCCGCTCCCATCTCCTGACACCTTTCCTGCTCTCTCCGAGAAGCCCTCCTGGAAAGGGACCTCCTTAGAGGAGCAGGATCTCAGGGAATGGGGTCTCACACTTATTCTCCGGCTCCAGCTCCTGCAGCTCCTTACAGGATTCAAGTTCAGACTGCAGCACCGTGGACTTCTCCACCGACAGCTCACACCTGAGGATGAGCAAGGGTGCTGGTCACCCCTAGTACCCGGTCTGAGACCATCTGCCCGAACCCCGGGCCTCCCGCCCCAGAGTCCAGACCCCCCTCTCTTTGTCTGTGTGCTTCCCTGTTGTCACCTGAAGAGCTGCTCATCCGTGGCGGAGTCCCGGCACCAGGCCTCCTGGCGGCCTGAGAGAAAGTATGGGTGGTAGAAAGGGGTAACCGTGAAAGGAGAGGGACAGGGATACTACCGCGAGGGGGTAAAGACGCAGAGGTTGTGTCACCTTTTAAAAGCACACACTCCTTGTGGGCATCGCCTGCTGTCCAAATGACACGAAACGTATGCTGGGGCAACTGGTCGTTGAGGGAGGAGGCGGGCAAGTCACAGAGCTGGGAGCACCGGGTTAAGGAAATGCTCGAGCCTCACCACTTCTCTGACTGTCCCCCTCCAGCCCCGCCCCAGCCCCCCACTCTGCCCCACCCGTCCTGGGATACCCAGACATGGCTGGGCCGGTTCCTGCCATCTGGGGTCCTCCACTCCACAGCCAGGGGTGACTCATCAACCATGAGCAGCAAGGTCTCTGTCCTGGACCCCACCTGGCCCAGGGGACAAAGAGAGACCCATCAGCCCCAACAGCACCAGGCCCACGTCCATGACACTCTCCGGCAAAAACTGCAGGACTCACTAGGAGGGGCCGAGAGAAGGAGACAGTCAGACACGCCTCATCCCGGCTCACGTGCAGGCAGCGCAGGGCATCCTGGGGGTCAGCTGGGGGGAGACACAACCTCAGGTCTCCTTAAATCCCTCTTCCATTCCTTCAAAGCCCTAAACGCCCAGTCTCCTTCCCCACTGCTCACCTCGCCCCAGGAGCCAGCGGTGATAGAACCAGGCACTCTGATCATTGGGGTCGGTGAAGAAGGCATTCTGTACCAGCTCCAGCTCTGCGGGGACCAAGGAGGCACAGGCTGTGGCCAGGATCCTGGTGGGCTCCTGGCTGCCCCAACGTCCCACACGCACCCAGGAGTCCCTCCAGCTCTCAGTTTCATCTATCTGCTGGCCTTGCACAGCAGCTACATATATCAGCTGTATCCTTCCCACGGGACACTTGAGTTCCCTGTAGCCAGGGGTCGACTCTTATGCATCCCCAAGGCCAGGCACAAAGCGGGTGCTCAGTAAGCCCACGTAGCAGGTTCGGGAACAGGGTTAGGCATCAGGGCTGGAAAGGTATCATTGCAGAGTCCTCCCCAGCACCCTCTGACCCTCCTTACCTTTGAGGAGCACATCCTCGGGGAGGCGTCCCTGGGGTCCAGAGTCTGGGTGGGGGTGCAGCTGGGGCAAGAGACAGGAGCGGTAATGCCAGGAGGAGTAGTTGGAGAAGTTTCGGGTGATGAGACTGTCAGTGAAGGCGAGCTCCTCCGCAGGGGGCACGGCTGCCTGTGCAGCCACAAACCGCCGGTAGTCCCAGCAGTGAACTAGGAAGAAGGGTGACAGCACATCTCAGAAGCCAGGCAAGAGGCGCTCCATAGCTAGAATGCCTGGAGTTCCCATGGAGGCCCTTAGAAACACCTCCATGTTTCCACAGAGCATGTGTGTCTCCGGCATCCCTTCTGCCATCAGCTCAGTGGGCCTGTCCTGGCCGTGCCTCCCAACTCTGGGCTTTACTGAGGCCCCAATACCACGAGGTGGGACAGAATCAGCAGGCACGTACAGTTCCGCTCATCGACCTCGAGGAAGCGGGCACATAACTCCAGCTCCCAGGACCAGTTAGGGTCTGGCAGGCGGCCCAGCAGCCAGCAGCGGTGGTGCCAGGTACCATAGGACTTGGGGTTCACCCGCAGGCAACTCTCCAGGAAGCCCAGTTCTGTTTTCACCAGAGCGGCCAACTCCTCAGGGGACCTGCACTCAAAGGGAAATGGGGCTCAGGGCTCTCTAACACCCAACCTCAGCTCACCCCTGACTTTCTACACTCAGCCCTCCACTCCCGTCTGCCTATGCCCCTGGCTGTCCCGTTCTTCTCCAATCGCTGGACCCCGGGCAAGGCAGGGCCAGTGCCATCTTCCTGCGGCCCTGAACTCCTACGCACTTTTGGGCCTCCAGCTGCTGAAGCACCTCTCGCCGACAGTTCCAGAGGGTGGCAAAGTCAGGATTGGCTCCCAGAATCTGGCTTGTCAGTTCCAGCACAGACTCATCCAGCTCACCAGCCTGGCGCTTAGAAGACAGATAGCAGGGTCAGAGGTCATAGGCAAATAAGTAAATAACAGAATTACCAAAAATTCTGTGAACCCCATTCTATACAATTGGTAGCATGCAGGACGCTTCATGGTTTTACGTGCATTCTCTCACTTAATTTTCACAACAATCTGATGCAGTAAGCCCCATTTTACAGACGAGCAAACTGAAATTTAAAGAGATTCAGTAACTTGCCCAGGATCACACAGCTTGTAAGTGACAGAACCCACATACGGATCCAAGCAGTCCAACTCTAAGGCCCAGCTCTTGGCCTCTGTGCTATCCTAACAGGGCCACCTGGAAAAGGGACCACTTCTGAGGGCCCCACCTTCTGGAAGACAGTCTGGGTGGCTGACTGGTAGAGCTTCAGCTTCTGCTCCCGCTCTAGCTTTTTGGCCTCCGCCTGTTCTTCCGATGTCTTCACCTTCAGGCGCCCGTGCTACAGGGATGGACGGGTTGGAAGGGTGCAGGCTGCCTTGCTGGGGCCGACCCACCGAAACCCCCACTGCGGAGCCCCAGGTTTATACAGGGCAACGAAAGCAACGCCACGCGCGGCATGGACATGCGGAGACGAGAGGCTTTGCTCGGAGTTCTCACCATGGTGCCGGCTCAGGGTTCAGGACAGGGGAGGGGTCCAGTGGAAGCCTGAGAAACCTGGGGGGAAAGTGTCAATCATGGGAGCCCCGCCCCCCGATAGCCCCGCCCCCAGCGATTCCCCGGAAGCCGCACGCGAGCTTGGGAGAAAAGCCCCGGGATGTGAAAGGGACCGGGGAAGAGCAGCGCCCATCCTGGAGGAGCGCTCAACCAGACTGGGACTCGTACCCGTGCCGCCCTGCTCACAGCCGGATCTTCCGGGACCGGATCCGAGCCGGGCACTTATGCAATGGGGACGACTCCGCGCCTCGAGACTGCCGCCACCCGCCCACCCCACAGAGCCCAGACACTCCCGCCCTCCGCGGGCGGACCCACCTGCTCGGAGGGGAGGCGTGGGGGACGCTAAGCTGCAGCGCCTGCCACGGAGTCCAGGCGTAGGCTAGAGCGGCGCCACGCCCCCCGTCTCTTCCAGGCGCAGCGCCCTCTGAAGGCCTGGAGAGAGGCGGGTGGCGGAGTAGGCGGGCTCCGTAGACGCGTGCGCCGGTACTCTCTAGGAAGGCTAAGCCCCTGTGAAACTTATTGTGCCTACGAGTGCGCATGCGCAACAGCGCGCGCCAGCGGTAGGGGCTGCAATTGCAGTCAGGGGCTAGAACCGCAGTCTAGTTGCGTAAGTTTCTTCTACAACCGGGAACTCACGCCCTGGCCATCCCGCTGACCTCGTTTCTGGCCACTGGCCGTCTCCTAGTTGCCACATCTAACTGGTGAAGTTTCCTGTCCTTATCTCCACTGATCTTGGAAGCTTTCATGTAGCTGATTTCCTTCCACTTGACACCCTTTCCTGGCTTCTCCTGTGCCTCAGCCCCTATCTTCTCGTCTGTTCACCTTCGTCTCCCCTAAATGTTGATGATCCCCAGTGCCCTTTCCTCACCCTCTCACATCACTCACTGCTCCTGGGAGAACAATTACAAATCCAAGCCTTCTCCTGTTTGGAGTTGGAGCTCCCCAGACCTCTGTCCTGGGCCCACAGCTATTCTGGCCCCACACTTTCTCCAGGTGAAGTCAACCACACTCATAATTTTAATTACCACCCGGGAGCTGATAACACTCAAATTTGTGTCTCCAGCCCAGATGCCTCGTGAGCTGTAATAATAAACATATGTATGTGCACACATACCCCAAAGCCTATTGGATATCACCTGGGTGTTCCAGAGACACCTGAAACTCCAAAAGTAAAAAGGGATCATTGTCTCCCATTCATTCTTAAACTTTGGCCTTTATGTTTCCTACTGTAGTGAATGGCACGATTCCCGCCCCACTTTTCCTTAGTATCTCTTAAATACTCGCTCCATTCCCTCTGCACTAGAATTTAAGCTCATTTCTTCCCGGATTGTTGAAAGTCTTTTCAATGTTCCCCTGTCTCCACTCTGTCCTTTCTATTCTGAGTTCATTCTCTGTGCTGTTGGATCGACTTTCCTAAAATGCAGGTTTGATTAAATCACATCTCTGCCTAAAAGCCTTCTGCGTGGCTCGACCAGCTCAGAAAGGTTTCCTGGAGAGCCTTCACGAGGTTCAAGGTGGCCAGTGAGTGTATATGCGTGAGTGAGCATATGTGATGTATCTGTGAGAAGCGTGTGTGTGTCCACGTGGCATGTGTTCATAGCTCACATTTAAGAATGTATGGCTTTTAGTTCTGTATATTCCTTTTTTTAAATTTTATTAATAGTTTATTTTCGAGACAGAGAGAGAGAGACAGACAGAGCACAAGTGGGGGAGGGACAGAGAGAGAGGGAGACAGAGAATCCAAAACAGGCTCCAGGCTCTGAGCTGTCAGCACAGAACCTGACACGAGGCTCGAACCCACGAACTGTGAGATCATGACCTGAGCCGAAGTCAGATGCTTAACCAACTGAGCCACCCAGGCACCCCTAGTTCTGTATATTTCTTCCACATCTTTCTCAGTCCTGGAAATGTATACAAATTGCCCACTCTATGGTCTGTCCTTTTCTAGGCCCTGTAACAAATTACAGAAGAAAAGAGACACTTTTACTGGCCTCCTATACTTGTGGTCCCAGTGAGGAAGGAGTTACACCACTTCTTGGTTGTTTTTGTGCTGTATCTTTGTGTGCACACAGGATTACATGTGGAGGCAGTAAGCGGTGTGCTTGTGAACGTGGACTCTTACGTGCCTGGGTGCACATCCTGGTTTGGCCACTTATTAGCTGTGTGCTCTGGGAAAGGTACTTAACCCTCTGTGTTGAGCTTCCTTTGTGTCTCAGTTTCTTCAGTAGTAACATAGAAAAAAACATTACCTACCAGTGAGAGTTCAAGTGAAGATTAAATAAAAGGACCTAATGTAAATGCTTAGCTTAGCACAGTATCTGTACCAAGTAAAGGCTCAGTAAATAGTAATAGTAGTAATAATATTATTATTATTTCTAATCTTCATTATAAATATAGAAGACCTTGAGGCTCAGAAAGACTAAGTAACTTGCTAAGGGCCATCCATGCAGTAAGTGGCCAAATGGGACCTGTGTGTGGTCCAGTCCAGCTCTCACACCTCATCAACCCTTTGTTTGTTTGCTTCTGTACACACTCACATGTGCAACCTGACACCTGGGAACACAGATGCCCACAGATGCAGACTTGCCAGGTACAATCTTCTATCTTAGTCACCAAGGGAGGAGGAAAGGGGGTGGTTGAGGGCCGAAGTAGGCATGAAATATTTTTTAGTGATTAGCAATCTTGAAACTGAGGAGGTTGAATCAAGTAGGCTTAAGAGAGGAAGTGAGTCTTATGACAGAATCTGCTTCGAGAAGGTAGGGCCTGGTTTAGGAGAGGGCAGGAAGGGCATTTCAGACATGTACTGTGACGTGAAGAGCGGGGAGAAAACACACGTAGCTGGCTGGCAGAGAGCAGTAGAGCCAGGTGCCTTTGGAGATAAGAGCAGTGGAATGAATGACAAGCCTCTTGCTTTAAGGCAAAGGGAGCTGTCAGGAGTTATATTTGGTCTCCTCGGTGTGATAAGTGGGAACCACACAGGTGCCTGAGGGTTATGATCTGAGTGATGTTTAAGGAAGAGATCTTACTGCCTTCTATGTAGAAAAAAGAATAAGCAATAATTGAATACCAACGGAACCCCTAGACATCTTATTTAATGTAATCACCACCTATATGAAGTTGGTGTTATTATCCATATTTTATAACAAGGGAACAATGCATACAGTGGTTTTGCAGAGGTTAAGAGGTTTGCCCAAGGTCACAGAGCTGGGAGGAACCACAGCCAGAAATCAACCCAAAGCCTGGGTGGCTGCTCCTACCTATGCAGTGGGCATTATTAGAAGCTCAAATTGGAGCTTCTTGAGGTCTGGAAGCCTGGGTCTCTTCATGCTGACCACCTCTTCCCCTGCCAATTCTTTCTCTGCAACCACTCCCCAACACACACACACACACACACACACACACACACACACACACACACACAATGTCCCTAGAACCCTGAGCCAGTCATGGACCAGAGATGGTCTGGAGGGAGGAAGGAGACCATGAGCCCTGGGTCGGCACCCAGTCAGATCTTTGCTAGAAGCCATGGTCTGGAGGCAGGGAGAGCAAGGACAAGGTGGGCACTGGTGCTGGTGCTACACCTTGTGCGGAGAGTGGCAGTGTGTGAAATGTGTTGATATTTGTGTACTCTCAGAAGTGGGATACAGTGCAGGGCCTGAAGGACTTGGTCTCTGCCTTCCTGGAGCTAGACTTAGTGCAGTGCTGGGCTAGACTAGACACCTTTCTGCAGTGTTGAAATGTTCAATGTCTGTGCCGTCCAGTATGGTCACCACTAGCCCCATGTGGCTACCGAGCACTTGAAATGTGGCTAGTGCAACTGAGGACACACATTTTAAATCTGATTTAATTTTAATTTATTTCCATTTAAACAGACACGTGGGGCTAGTGGCTAGTACAGGACCGAACAATTCTCATGGGTGAGACAGGCATGCCAGTATGTAAGCTAAAGTAGGATAGGGGCCCGGGGCCCACAGAAGGGACACTGACTCAGATTGAGGTCAAGGAGAGTTTGTTCTAGAGCTAGTGATATATAATGTTTTACAATTTCTTTTCTTTTCTTAAAAATTTTTCTTAACATTTACTTTTGAGAGACAGAGAGAGGCAGAGCATGAGCAGGGGAGGGGCAGAGAAAGAGGGAGGCCGAGAATCTGAAGCAGGCTCCAGGCTCTGAACTGTTTGTCAGCATAGAGCCTGATGTGGGGCTTGAACTCACAAACCATGAGATCGTTACTTGAGCTGAGGTCAGACGCTCTATCAACAGAGCCACTCAGGCGCCCGACAATTTCTTTTCTTAAACTCCTAATGTTTCTTTTTTCTTCTTGTAAAACTGGTCAATGAAGCACAACATATATACTAAAAGTGTACAGCTTTGATCTTCCTACTTTAAACTCTCCAGTCACAGGTATGGGGAAGGGGGTTATCTAGAAATACAGGACATAGAGAAGAATGTGAGGACGGGGGTCAATGAGTGGATATAGACTGGTTATGAGGAAGGACATTCTAATAATTAAAGCTTTCCGAAGATGGAATGAGTGAGTTGTGAGCTTACCATCATGGGAGATAATCAAGCATGTGTTGTTCAACCACTTTTTGACAATGTGGTGGAGGACATTCGATGATGCACCCCAAAGCTCTGAAAGATTCTGATCCTGGGATGGACCAGGGGATCAGAATGATTGAAAACCCAAGAAGATCCTCTATACCGTCCATTCCCCCAGAGTCCTGGGCTTCCTTGGGCACTTGGTCTGAGTGATTGGATTTTTTTTTTCCTCTTCTCCCTGCTCCCCAGTTGCTTCTGCCAGGCTGGAAGAATTCCTCAGTGACCAGCAGTGCCACCATATACCCATAGCACACTTCTGGGCTGGGGGAAGGAGGGAACAGGCTAGCTGATGAGAAGGGAGGGCAGGACCCAAGGACAGAAGGGCAAGGGAAAGTCCCTATGATGGAGCCAGTGCACAGTGGGTGCTGACTCATGTTGGTGTTTTGTGGCAGAAGAGATGCAGGGAAAGCAATCAGGAAGTGGGGCCAAAAAGCTGGAAAAACTCCCTGAGCCAGAACTGGAGCCTTTCTTACCGGAGCCGGGCACTGCACAGGGTTGGTAAAGATGACAGCATTGCCTTAAAATTGCTCAGAGTGAGATAGGGAAGCTGAAGGGACTCCATTTTCGAAATGCTCCATTTCTGCTGTTTCTCTGCTAGGCCCCATTTACGCATGCTCTGCATTTCCCTTTGCATCTGAGTAAACCTAAAAAGCTGTGCTCCCTTTCCAAGAGGGAGGCTAGGAAGTTTAATCGTTCTTTGGGTTTAATCCTAGACCTCTGCACACCTGATAACATCTAAGAAGAACCAGATCATAAACATGTTCCAGGACCTTAGCTTCAAATAAACCTCCATGGACACTGGCGTCAATACGCCCTACCTTCAGTGGTATATGGACTAACACCTGACACTTGCCTATGATGGGCCCTACCCTGGATGCCTGAAAGA